TGCCACACTATCGAACCATTCGAACCATATATTATCATAATCTTATGGGTCCAGGATATCCGTTAATATATGATTACAAATCTGTGATTTTATTTTGATAGGCTCGAAAAATGAATACAAAGTTATTTTTCAATCCACAGTATAATATATTAAGTTATAACCATCTTCTTGTACATGAATTTCAAAAATTCACTAGTTAGTAATTATTAGTATAAATTTCATTATGAATTTTATGATACCAACATATTTACAACTAAGATAGGTATTAAAAATGTAATTTTTATCTATGCGATTTCATAATTATATGACTTTGTACTAATAATCATTCTTTGATTAAAAAAAAAAAAAACAAATATTTTCTTAAATTCTTGAAATATTTAAACCAATTTTCTAAAAATATGGCCCTCGGTAAAGCTAAATATTATTTATTATATTAAAGTGTAATAAATTTATGATTAATTAATAAGTTTATCCCTATCACGTGGATTAACGTTACCTTACTAATGCTGAATACATGTATGAAACTCCACGGGATGTATCATATTCATATTTAGGTATACGCCTGTGGTGGCAGTCACTAAGTCGTATGATAATAAAATATATAATATTATTTAGATAAATATCATGATCGTAAAATAGTGAATATTTAACGGCTAGAAATGTATTCTTTGGTCTTTATTCGCCGATAATACCTACATAAATTATGAATTATGACAATATATCAAAATATAGTTGAGTACAAGCAATCAAAAAGTTTTATAGATCACATATTATTTTTAAATTAAAAATAATCAATAAATAAATTTACGATTTGTTTTTTTTCAAAAGTTAGCATATCGGTATGAGGTCATATCTAATTAGTGATTTTCATTCTATTAATTAATTATTACAAAGGATTTAATGTAGCTAACTAATTAAAAATAAAGAATAAAATATTAAAACTTACATTTCACATCAAACTTTTCCCATATGAAATAAACAATGATTACAATATGTCGTGTATTTCACAATCCATATAATAAGTATTATCATAAAATCAATTTACTATAGTTTTTTTTTATTTTTATTATTATTATTATTAAATAAAGAACATTAATCTATCATAATAAAAACGCTAAAAATACCATAGTACTCGTTACAAAATAATTATTACACTACTTCAATTATTACTTAAGACATTTGTTTAATATGTGTATTAAATTTTTTGAGGAATTTATGTTGTTTATTCCATTATATGGATGCAAATTGTTTTTCTTAAAAAATATATATATCAACATTATAATAAGTACCAATCCACGCCTAACTGTATTTAATATGATTGTAAAATAAATATAATATTAACACCTCAGCGTACAATAAATTTCAGAACAATAATATGAATTAAGTTTCAAAAATTATGGTAGGTATCTACTATAAGAAGTCGATCAATATAATCTATTAATTATTTTCAACAAACAAATTATACCAATTTACAATATACATATTATACGTAATATCATATAGGTATATTGTATAAAAATAAAAATATCATTCTATTAGTATCAATAAATTAATAAATAGGATCTTCCTGTATATTTGGACTAAAAATGTTTTAAATAGTCGATGAATGGGGTTTTGGTGTAGACGAGAGCACGAGACGGACGTCGCCGGCGACGATCGTTATGTACGATTAACTCCCCAGGCGTGCCCGACCACGCCTAAAATACTCGTTTATAACACATGTTTCGATTGACCACAGACAACACTAATTACAAATACCCAAATATTTTATAGAAAGGATTTGTCATTAAGTCAATACAAAACTAAAAATATTTTATCTACTATCTAGTAACATATATTTCCTACTTAACAAAAAATAAATACAGAGTGGTTCAAATTTTATGTTACAGCCATTTTATCATATATTCATAATAAAGAAAAATGTTTAATACGATAATTTGTTATTCACCTAAACCTTAAGCAATGATAACTCATGACCTACTTGTTCGAATATTTCAATAATTAAGTATCAAAATACTCAAGAAAAAAATTCTTCGCGTAATGATAGCAAAAAGTATGTTTCTTTTTGGATTTTTAAAATTAAACATCTAAACCCTCTTAAAATACTATGAAAAAAATATGTAAAAACTATTAACCTATTTAGATATTTCTAAATAAAAAACTTTCGTAACAACATGTTTCTCTATCATGAATATTTTATACTTACATATATGATAAATTGACTACAACATAAATTTTGAATTACCTTTTATAAGATATTCCACGCCCACGTTATTTTCAATAATGTATTTATACGATCTTAAAAACTGAAAGTCATATCACTAAAAGGTCTATATTCAATATTTTGAATAAGTTTATTCATGTCTAAACATAATGTATCATAATCTCTAATATTGTAGGTTAAAGTGTACAGGTGTTGTTTTTTTAATACTTAGTTAAATATGTATTTTAAATAAATGGTCTTTCAACTTTTGTGAACCTATATAATATTTATAAAATTTTTGTTGAAATAAAATGAGTAATGTTATTTTATTTTTTATAAAAATCGATAGACTAATCTAACATAACTCATACATATTTATTCAATTGGTTAATACTTAATTATTTCACCATTTTATTATTGATTCTCATTTTAGTTTACTAGGTACTAAGTAATAACTATGCAAATGTATCATTCGAAATTAATGAAATTATACTGATTAAATTTCTATAATATAATACTATATCAATTACGTAATTACCTATTCATAACGGGATAACCAATAATATAATTAAGAGGTAGGTATCAATATGGTGTTAAATTCAAATTTATCTTTTGATAGTGAAATAGTTACTTTTTATGCATAACTTAATAACAACAATATAAATTATAATATTTTATTTTTGTCACTGAAAATATGTATTCAAAAGTTTTTTGTATAAAAGCTTGAATTAATATTAGTTATTTTTAAATAATTTCAGATATAAAGTTATAGTTATAGAAATAGTTCTAACTTCTAAGTAACAATACAAGGTTAATACTTCAATGCCCAAATTAAAATAATTTGCATAGATACTTAAGAGACTAGATACCCAATTTCCCACTGTCCCACTGAAAACTGATTATTATTGTCAACAATATTACATAGTTAAACTTTATATTATGTTATAAAAAATAGGTAAATACATTTTAAATATAGATTTGTTTTGAACAAAATGTTAACATATTATGATACAGATATTTTAATTAATATCTAGAAAATTTTATAAAATGTGTTTTAATTTTTAACCTACCTAACTAGATATCCAGTACTTGTATACAATTAAATAATAATTTAATAAGTAAGTAAAAGATTAAGTTAAAATATAATTTAAACATGTTTTTAAAAGTTAAAATTATTGATTATTTAATAGGTACAAAATATGTACAATATTAATACATAACATTAAAGCACACAATTCCATTAAAAATTAAAATTAAAGAAGCAGTTAATAATTAAAATTACATAACTTAATTCTTAATTATTTAGTGAAATTCAGATAATAACTATAATACCTAATATATTTAAGTGTTGTAAGTATGTAATTATCAAATCAGTTTCAATTTTTAATTATTAACAATCATATTATGGTTTAGTATTATTTCAATAAAGATAATTTTAGTAAGTTAAGATTGTAAACATAAAATATCTAAAAAGCAAAACAAAATGTTCTTTTAATTTTTACACATTTTTATCATACTTTGTTTTAAGTTGTAATAAATTTCATGTTGTAGACATATTGAACATTTTAATTTTTTTTTATTTTTTTAAGCAAAATAATGCTTTATTTACTTTAAATTGTTCTATAGATACTTTTCTGACAATAAAAAAACAATAAAAACATTATGTATTCATTATTTATATTAACTATTGACTGCAGATTTATTTGTTTAATACTAGTTTTATAAACTATGATTTTAAATTTAAGTATAGTTTTCTTATTAAAGACATGTAAAAAATATAAAAAAAAATATTATTTTTTTATTTTTGTTCAGTTTTAACTAGCTTTACTGAAAATATTTTTTGAATTATGTGAATATTATGAATAGTATTATTATAGATTGAATGTTTATAATAATACAAAACTATCCTATACCATGATGAGTGAAGTAAGGTAGAGCTAAGGTAGAATGCTTAACAATTGGTTTCCATACACTTTTTTTTAATAATAAACTTCAAATACTTAGTACAGGTACTCAATATGATAATATTTTTTTATTTGTTCTTAACATAAATATATCTATAAATTAAAAAAAAAAAATAATATAGTAAATTTAAAATTTACTTAATTGGCAAAACCAAAAGAATTAGCTAATTTAAAAATAGTTAGATATTTTTTGTTTTCTATAAATTATGTTTTATTATTGTTTCATATAAATGGCTTAAACTGAACTTTTAAATTGGTAGGTAAGTAGAACAAATTATGTTAGTAATATTATATTATTTTAATAAGACTCAATATTATGTTAATATCTAAAAGTTAAAAAGTTCATTATAATTTTTTTCAAATAGGTAGTTAGATTACCTTGCAATAATTGGTTGCAATGCTATAAAATAATAATAACTAATTAACAAGGAAATAATATATTAATATGAATATAAGGTACCTCAATAATTTCATAATTTATTTTATTTTCAATAATAAAAAAAGGTTTTAGTTATCACAAATAACTTTGTCAATTATCAATAGATTTTCATTGCCCAATTGCTACACACATAATTGTAATAATACAAAAATTATTCATAAGAACTTTTAATGCATGTGGAAGCTAAATATACCTCTGAATTTGACTAAATATTCACACATGCAATTAATTAGACTTAGTATAGTTGTAAAAAATACAACTGTATACAAGATATATTGTTTAATATATACCATACCTTATAAAAAAATAACTTTTCAATACATAATAAAATATTTTCTAATGAACTCATTGCATATTTCATGTTATAACAATTGATTAACATTTAGGTACTTACACTTGAGTAGTGTGGGTGAGTTGGCCTAGGAGTAGCATAATAGGTTGCTACTCCTCCAGCATGTTGCATGGGATGCATTACCGTTGCAACTTGCATTCAAACGACTTTTAGGAAACTTCTAAACAGCTAAAATATAAAAATAATTGTTCAATTATTGTGTTACCACTTGTAAAACATATTGGATACACACTATTTTTGACTTGTGGATAATAATCATAAAATAAAGTGCTCCACAAAATATAAAATATTGATACATTTCAAATTTAAAATGTCATATAAAAAAATCAAACTGAAAACAAAGTCCTTGCAATTACTAAAGCATTTAGTTTAGTATTTGGATAAAATAATTAAAATCTAGATCTACTCGTGTCAAAGACTAATTATTGTATAAATAATTATGAACAATAATATAACTATAAACTAACATATCATAACATATAAAATCAGTAACTTAGTTGATTTAAATGAAAATAGTTATAGCAATAGAATAATTAATATATTTTTAAATTATAAAATTATGATGATAAAACCACCATCTTAGCTAAGTCTCATTTATTAATTAAATAAACATAATCTGTATTAAATAATTATGATAGCACATTTTTAGTTATAATACCTAAATAAATGTTATATTATTAATAAATTTTTTTTCTTTTTTTTATTAGGTACCTTTAATAAGTATTATTTAAGTACAAAACTTTTTGATAACCAACCTAAACCTTAGAGAAAAACATTTAATAATAACTAATTGTACTAGTATTCTATATACAATTTTCAAATTATCAAGAATGTAAATAACAAATTTAAATCATAAATTAATTAATTCTTAAATTTTCAAATACATATATTGGTATACTATAAGGACAAAGACCAATATTTTTTAGATTTTGTTAAATTTAATAGAATATAATAATATTATAATATTGAATAACTATATGTGTAACAACCAAACATACAATATAATTTTGTATGAAAATCATAAAGATTTTAATAAGAATTAGGTCATGATATAAATATGAATTTATTAGTAATAAAGAAGTTTAATTACAATTTTTTAGTAAAAATTAACTTATAAAATTCTTTGAATGAATTATTGAAATAAAACATTTTTATGTTATACTCTATTAAACTGTTCTAAATATTTATTCAAATACAATATTTTACATTTTCTTACTTATCATTATACAATTTAAATTAACATATAGTTCTTTTACTTTACACAAACTAATTAAAATTAAAAAAAAAAAACAAACAACAATAACAAAGAAGTAATAGGTTGAATATTATTAATGCGTAGTTTAAACTGATTACTATTATCAATTATCAAGTATAAAAATTCTTATCAAACATAAATTACCAAGGAATAGAATTAAAAACATAAGTTGTACAATGATCAATACAATAGTAAGTAGTGAAAATACAATTAGCATATATTAGGTAACTGTTCTAAAGTAATGTAAATGAGGAGTGTGCACCAGCATAATAAAGAATCATTGGTGGAGCTCCTTAAAATGTTTTTGAATGTACATGCTATTGCATTTTATAGCATAACTAATATCTACAAAAAAATATTAAATCTAGAACCATTTTTATTGAATACCTTGAACAAAAAACTGCATATACCATCCAGACATACGATTGCTGATTTCAAACTGATTAAAATTACAATGATGCAGAAGCTTCAAACAGTGCTCACAAAAAAACTTAAATTACATTTGTCGTTTACTCAACATCAAACAATACAAACTGTACAAAAATTTGGGTGTAAAGCTTCTTTTAACAGACATACAACTCATAACTACTGGGCGACAAGCTGCGGTCAATATGGTGCGATCGTAGAATTTCCATAAGGTTAACACTTACGAAATATTAATCGATATGGTTGACTAGCGAGATGGCTGCAGTCAGCAGACGACAACTTGCTACCGCTTATTATCTATACTCATGCATGTACAGAGACGACTTGATGTGAATTGGGACAGTGTGTTGCTGCTGTAAAAACACAAAAATCCGTAGACGAGATGGTATAATATAAATATACAATATTATTGATTGCCAATGTTTAGAGTCAGATACTTACCAATGTGTAGTGTTCGCTGTTCGTACCAGACATAGCTGTGACCATGGAACGATTACTTTAGTAAATTTATGTTTAATGACGACTTGCACAGCGATAGGTACTTATGTTTTAGACGACGGATGCGGTAGAAGAAGAAGAAGAAGAAGGCTCCAGGCGGGGGCGTGTTGTAGTAAGGTCAATGAGTACTTTTGAGCATCGGTTTTTTTTTAGGAAATCGAAAACCTTCTTCTGCCGACGGTCAAAGCGATAAAGAGTGGGAGGTTGGTAGCTGAAAACAGCGAGACATGTGTATAGATGAAGATAATATTATTATTCAATAACAGGCAAGTTCCTACCCGTCACCGGCGAAAATAATGGTGAATAAGAAAGAACACACGAACGACGATGACCGACGGCGATCGGGAGCGTTTTTTTAAATTTTTTTTTGCGACTACGTAACCGGCCCAAATCGTTATCGCGATAAATAAATAATAGTAATAATAATAATAATAATAATAATAATAATAATAATAACAATAATCGCCGTCAGGTCGTCTGCAGTCGCTGTCGTCGTCGTCGTGCTGAACGGCGGCGTCGACGTCGTCGTCACGTCGTCGGCCGGCGGCGGATAAGGAAACACTCACACACGCCGGCGCGCGCGCGCACACACTCGCGTAAACGCTCACGCACGCGCGGTCGACGGCGACAGTCGCTCAATGGGCACACTAACGACGCACACAGTCGCACGTCACACACGCCCAACAATCAGTCGCAGTTGTAGTAGTACCAAAAGTACTAGTAGTGGTGACTGGTGGCGGTAGTAGTAGTAGTAGTAGTAGTAGTAGTTGCAGTAGTTGTAATAGTAGTATTAATACCACCCAACTTGCGGTGGCGGCGGTCGTCGGCGAGGGGGTGCGTGTACGCCACACGGTAGCCTTGGCGGGGGCTGACACGCGGAGCGACCCGTCCCTGAAATAATAATAGTAATAATAATAGTGATAAACGGAGGAAAAAATGCGACGGGGTGTGAGGAAAAAAACCCGCTCTCCTACCCTGCGGCCACCTAAAGTACGCGAGCCCGCCCACACGGCCCGTTGATCGATTTTTGGGTTTACCGGTGTATGGTGCTCTCATGGAACAGAAAAAGGCCGCCACTGTCGGGATTTCGTCGACCGACAGTGCAAACGGAAACGTGGGTTTTTATTTTTTACGCCGTAAATTTGAGATTTTCAGCACGGTTTTTTCGTTCCGATCGATTGCCCGGCACATCGCGCCACCGCGATAAATGTATAATGAAAAAATTATCATTGCCTACATTTTACATATTTTTTTATTATTAATTGCAACTGCAACGCTGCGATGCCGTGTATCTATTCGATCGCCGCCGTTCGCGCTACGACGGTATTTATAACCGTCCGTGACTTCCGGTCGCATCGGTCCCTTCTCAGATGAATCGTATGCGTGGGTGCTATGGTGACCTTTGCAGTGACTGGTTAAGGGGGGGACGCCGTTTTCGCCGGTGCAACTCGTTTGCGCACAATCTACATTTTTTACCTAGATATCGATGACTCGTTTGCGCACAACGAAATCAGTCGTTTACCTGTAACGGACGACTCGTTTGCGCACAACATAAACACTGAGTAACATATATTTTATATTTTTAAATTTGGACTTACCTAAAGTAATTGAATTATCGGTAAAAATTATCAGTACAAATTACCAGCATATCAATAATCAATATATATCGATTTAAAATAATCGTCGTGTATTAGGAAAGCATAATACTTTTAAACAGTCGTTCGCCAGAAAGCTGTACTATAACAACTGACTATATTGACTATGGATATCGAAATTTGTGATGTTTTTGAAACGCGTCGAGGAAAAAAATGTTTAAACATAGAAAATTATAAATTTAGAGAATTCCGAACTTTAAAATCTGGTGATAAAAATTTTAGGTGTACAAATAAAAATTGTTCCGTAAGTGCTGTAGTTAGGTTAGTTAATGAATCATATAAAATTTTAAAAATTACAAACACGCATACCCATGACGAGTACGACGACCGAACAATTCATCGAGAAGTAGTAAGAAGCAATTTGAAACGTAGAGCCGAAGAGGATTTACATATTAAACCAAATAAACTAATACGCCGGGAATTGAAAAACAACGAAAAATCTGAACATCTTCAATATAGCGATATGAAATTAATTCGAAGATCCATGTATGAAAAACGAAAAAAATCCTTTCCAAACATACCGAGATCTTTAGAAGATGCTAAAAAACAATTAGTTGATGATCAGCATAATATTACTTACAAAGGTAATAAATTTTGTTTCGTTAGTGATGATGAAAATATATTTATATTTACATGTAAACAAAATTTGGAATTGCTACAAAGTGCAGAACACGTTTTTGGGGATGGGACATTTTCATTCGCTCCGAAATATTTTGTTCAACTTTATACTATTCACGTATTTACAAACAATTTTTATGTTCCTGTGGCATTTTGTTTTTTAAGTAACAAACATACTGATACTTACATCAGTATGTGGAAAACATTACAAAATATATGTATTCAAATTACTGGTAATATAATAAATTTAAGCAATTTTCATGTCGACTTTGAAAAATCTGCGCATAATGCAGTATTGCAAATTTTCCCTAAATGCAAAATCATGTGTTGTAACTTTCATTTAGGGCAAAATTGGTTTAGGCATATTCAACAACATAAATTATTATCGAGCGAGTACTTAAACAACGACTCAGAAGTTGGAAAATGGATGAAATGTTTTTTTGGATTAAGTTATTTACCCCCTGACGAAGTTTCCGATGGATTTTGTGATCTTATGTCAATAGCACCAAGTACTACGTCTAATATTTCTATATTTTCCGATTATATTTTAGAAAATTACATAACATCGGACAGCAATTTCCCTCCAACATTATGGGCTTGTGAACCTACTAATAATCCTAAGACTACTAATGGTGCCGAGAGTTATCACAAACAATATAATAGTCAGTTTTACACTGCTCATCCGCACATACATCAAGTAATCGACGTCATTATTGGAATTCAAAGTGACACTGATTTAAAAATTAATTCGATAAACAATAAAATCATGAATTTCAAAAGAAAAGAGACAATTAATAAGGAGATACAATTGGAAAACATTTGGAATGAATATAAAAATAATATTATTAATCGTTTAACTTATATGAAGAAAATCGGACTTAAATGTCACCATTCTAAATTAGTATAATTTTATAACTAATAGACTACTATTATTACTTATTAAACCTACAATGCATGTTTTTTAATATATTTTAATTTTTGTAATATTAAAATCATATTTATAATAGATATATCTGAAGGTACTTACATATGTGCTATAATTATAAAACAAAAAAAAATTAAATATTCATGTAATTTTATTTTTATTGTGTAAATTAATAACGTAAAGTAACTTTTATTTTTGTACTTTTTTATTTAATTCAATATATAAATTTTAAATTAATAATTGACAATATTGTTTACGCGTATAATCATTGACGTTATTATTACTTTTATCTGTATTATATTATTGTATATATATCTTATTCTCGCCGATATCTGGTCGATCGATGTTAAATAATATAATAAATACTTAGAAATTCAAAATAATTAAATCTTAATTTATAAATTAATTTTTTTTATATACAATATGTATATATATATTATTATTTTATACAGTCTATTAATTAATTATAATTAAGCAAAATAAGGTAAATGTGCGCAAACGAGTTGTACCTTTATTATTTAAACCTAAAATATGTGTGCGCAAACGAGTTGTGATTTTGTGCGCAAACATGTTGTAAAAAAGGTAAATGTGCGCAAACGAGTCGCACCCGTTTTCGCGCGATCGGGTGACATGTCCATGCCGTCATGCCGATCCCGCAAACAGCTGTTCATTTCAGAGACTGTCACTGCTGTTAACGGTCGAAAGAGACGTAGGCGGTGGCGTCATAAGACGCGATTTATGACGCGCCGTCTATCGATTGTATTCTGTATTTCTGTACTGATGAAAGCCGTCTGTCGGGCCGACAGATGGCAAAGTTTTCACGAATGCTTTGGTAAATCGTTAATGTCATGTACTCATGTAACGTCTATAGTAACGTCAATAATTCTGGTTAAGTAAGGGAGACAAAAGAGCAGCTGCACTCCTATGGCAATTATTACTTAGCGTCGAAAACGATGTTTCCAAGTTTTTAAAAATATTCTAATGTTCAGGAAGAATTATTATTAATTATTAAAAAAAGTGTTTGACAAAATAATAATAATAATAGAAGGTAATATTTATGTTAAAGCTGACAGATCGACGCGTTTCTATTTTCGTTCGTATTATCGTACCTATTATTTTCGATTTTAATTTGTATACATTGTATACAATAATACGTTTACATCAGTAGGTACCTACATACACTGACACATACGTGTTTGTGCTTGGCCCTATATAGTTGTGTTATAAATTATATAAGTAAATAAGTTATAACTTATAATCATCAGATTTTTAAATTTAATATTAATAGTTTCGAATAATTTATTTATATATTGCCAGGCAATTGTTTTTATTTTACTATCGACGAGTTTGGTAGAGCGTTTGGTTGTAGTCTTGTCAAGTCATGAAGTATACAGACTGAAAAAACAAACGTGCTTAATTTTTCATATCAGAGTTTTTTTTAAACATATATAGCCATAAAGGGAATTGACAATAACATTTTACGAAAATAGAAACAATTAGTAGCATTTTATAGTTAAAATTTAGAACCTGACCTCGAGAATGAGATTATTTAATTTAAATCTATTATAAAACATTTTTTCAGAAGAATAAAAATTATCTACGCACAGTAAACTTAAAACATTAATAAAATCAAAGTTGAACGATTCATTTTCTAATGCAGAAATAACTTTAAAACATTTTATACCAACATGTCAATATCATACTCAAACGCTAGCGAGAAGAGATCTTTCTCAGTTTTAAAGAGACTGAAACTACTAGAGTACTTAATTATCTAATAAATAAATGTAATAGTTGGCTCTAATATATTATATTGAGAATAATTTCTTACTAAGTATGGATTGAAATAATATCTGTTATTAAAGAATTTGTTTCAAAAAAGTTAGAAAAAATTTTTAAATGTTTATACTTAGTATTAATATTTCTATATTGTATTAAAACATTTAAAACCACCAATGTTACGATATGTTTATAAATATATATCAATTAAACAATTATAATACTGTTTTTGTTAAAATATTTATTTTGTTTTGATGAGTACAACCGTACAAAGTTACAGGATTTGTAAAGGATAGCATTTTAAAATCTACCTTCAGGCGGCATATTCATTAACTCGATATTGAGCAACGTTTATATTATGTAGATTGTGATTGTAATTCGTTGACCAAAATTAGACATTAGGCCTTAACTAGTTAGAAAGTTATTTTTGGGTAACCCTCTGACTTAACAAGTTGAATTTATTGCACAAATAAATAATCTTATTTAACCTGTAAAAAACAAAAAGTATACTTAACTAGTTTTTTTTTACTATAAAAATGTCAGTGCTTTGTAAAATGTAAAATAGCGCCATTTTCCGACAAGTGTCATAGATAATAATTAATACACGTTTAGTAGGTAGGTAGGTACTTCATGGTAACAGATACATTTTTTATAATAATAAAAATTAGAAGTTATAAATTATAATGCATAAACACAGCTTAGAATATGACTAAATTTTAGTTACCAAATTGATAGGTAGGTAATTAAAAAGGATAAAACAAGTAGGTATGTTTGTATTTGTTAAAAATTGGAGATCCCAAGACTATTTAAATTTTAATGTAGGTAACAATACTTATTCAAGATCAATGAAGTAATAGTTTTACTAATATCCACGCTGTGGTTACTTAACAATATGATGATGTTAAAAAGCCTTGATGAATATAAAATCCTTCTTATTACACTTTTTAACGCTTAATTTAAGTGTTCGTATTTATATAATGCTTTAGTAAACAACTTCAAAGCAATTTGATTGTTCACTTAATGTACCCATACCAGTATACCACACATTTTATTTTACTGTTGGATAGGTTTAATAAGTTTTTTAAGACACCCATACTACCTAAGTTTGTAAGAATATTCAATTATTTGTTCTAAATTATATTTCCAAACGCTTGCATGAGGTCCACGAACACTAAATGAATATTTTTTTATTATATTTATAATGTTTATTAAGGATTTACCCTACCTACTATAAACATTTGATCTGTCGTTGATTTCCATTTCCTAAAGCTTAATTGATAATTTCCAGATTGTTTTGATTAGGTAATAAGAAGCCACAGCATATAAATAAATATAAACTCAATAATTATGGGTATAATTCAAAGATGAGCAATATACAAACATTACAAACCACAAATACAACTGGCGATACAGATATTGATAACTGTTGTGTGAGCATATTTTGTAAAACGATAGGTCAATATTATTATAGGTATAATAGGTAAACTAGCGTATATGAGTATATGGGACCGGACGGCCCTGGTTGGAATCCGTTGATCCAACGATTTCAACTCAGTTATTGAGCATGATACATAAGTCAGTTGAGTATGTAAGGATGGCCGTATAGAATTTTTCTTGTAACAGTCTGTAGCCATTCTACTGAAATAGAGACGTTGGGTGTAGATGGTATAATATGGTCACTTCAAAAGCAATTTTACACTTAACTAAATAGAAGAAAACTCAAAGATACCATTGAACGTGCTGCTGTCAGATGGTCCATTGATTCAATTTTGTACTAAGGATAAAGTGAGTTTGCTTGAATTTTTTTTAATTAAAGAAGGACAAGCACATGTTAAACTATTTACCAGTCATTGCACCAATGAAAGAGGATCAGAATTTAAAAGACTATATTATGAAAATCTTAAGACATAAATAAATTATCAAATCAAAGCAGATAAAAATATCTGCACTCATGGATGAAAACTAAATACTAGGTAATTATCATTGCACTCTGCCATTATTCAATAAACTAAGTACAATCAAAACCTTCAATAATCAATTTAATTGAAATCTAGTTAGTGATTAGAGGGCTATTTAATTTGTATACTATCTTTTGTTTCATCAAGTGGGTAACATAATTAATTAGTAATTGATATAATTAAATTCTCTTTACACAAGCACAATCTTAAGGACAACAAAAAAAAAAAAAAAAAAGAAAAAATAAATAACTTACATTTGCAATTTTGTATAATTGTCTACAACTATGAAATTTATACAAATTTTATGTTTTAACAAAAGAAATGCCTCACTAATGAAGTTAATATGGGCATTGTTTTAATACCTACTTGAGATATATGTTAAAAATTCTTTTATAATTATTAAATTATAATATTACGGTTGTCAGAGTAAAAAATAATGTAAGTACAGTTGGATTTAAACATTTTTTATTCTCAGTTACTTATTTTAAGTGTTCTGTATTTAATAATTGATTTACTGTTCTTTTCAACCATATGTTTTTACAAAATGTCAGAAACACAAAATAACATTTTTATAATAAATGTTATTGCTATATATTTCTAAATCACCACTATTTTCCAGTTACCAAGTATATTTGTGTAAATGTTAAGGAATAATCACTAATTTTTTAATGATTCTGTTTTGTTTTCCTCAAGTTTTTTTGTAATAAAAAAGAAATTAACAGTAATTATAAAAACAAACCATATTAAAGACTACAAATGAAAAAACCTTACAGAAAATATACCTTTAAAATGTGTACATAAATTATGTATAAGTCATCTATTACAGTAGACAGGTTTACTCATAAAATAACTACATAGCACAGAATACTTTGTTTATAATAATTTTCAATAAAATATTTTTTAGTAAAAGGCAAAAGATATTTTCGATCTGAAAGGGAACCGGAGTTCCTTTTTAGTAATTTAATAGATGATTGTTAACAATATTATTTTATATAATTACACAATTTTCAATAGGTTAGTTAAAAGTAATTTTCCATTTACTAGATACGAACATAGCTCAGTTTGTATACGTAGCTCTTAACACTAAAATTTAGAACACGATAACATATTATAGTATTAAACTGAATAAATAAATAATAATAATAACGTGGTTATAGTTGAGCAGTTTTTTTTTATTATAAAATAGTAATTAGTGTTAGTATATTTAATATCACATTTTTTAATATACAATACACTATTTATTCATTTATTATTAAATTATAAAATAAAGCATAAAATATGATTTCTGTATTACTTAAGCATATATTATGTTACAAAAATATTAAAAAAAATACCTGTTCTTTAAATAAACAAATGTTAACTAATGAACACAGTATGCAAGGTACAATAAAAATAAACTTAAATCTAAAGATTCTAGCATTACATAGACAAAAAATAGTGAAAAATAAAAATAAGATAAAATTATACAACACATTTTAAACATAAATTACGTAAATTTCCTGTACAAAATGTATATATATGATAATAAGTTATTGCTTATATAGTTATATGGAACTTTTTAATAGGTTTTAAAGTATCTAATACTTTTAATATTATTATTATTTTATAAAGCTTTAACCAAATAGTTGATAAATATTATATACATAATATAAATAAATGGACTAGGTTTAGAAACATCTGAGGACAAAATTATTAGAAAAAGATATACCATATAAATTACATACATTGGAACTATCATATACACAGATGTCAAATATTGGCTATCAATTTCTAACAATGTTGAGACTAGGGAACCTATGGAAGGGTATGAGGGAAGAATAGTATATGAATATTTGATACTAGAAAATAAGTTGTTTTAATAACCATAAATTAATTTGATTTAAGTTTTTTTTTTAAATTTTAAGTATAAACAAATAAAAAGTATATTATTATATTAATACGATTAGTAAATGTAAGTGTGTTGATGCAAATCTTTTAAAATTTATAATAATATATAGTAAAAGAAAATTAAAAAAAATTTATTTTTTGTATTACTATGTTTAAATTATAGTTTATAGAATAAACACAAAATATAATTTTTTAAATAACATCTAAAATTTAAATAATAAGACCAAATATAAGAAAATGTAATCAAGTATACTTTCACATATTCTAAATAAGTACATACACTCACTCAACTTACACATACACTTTTTTTTTTTATTGCTTAAGTTTAATTACTAGTTTATGAAATTGGTCCACAGCTGACCAATTCAATATACAAATAATTATAATAATAACTATTAATAAACTGCTTAACTTTAATCATCTCAGAAATGGGCGGAATTAAAAAAAATATTACTATTGATAAAAGTTCATTAACAATGGAAAGAACTAATGATGATAATAAAATATAATTTATGAGACGATAATTGTTCAGTTAAAATAGATTAAAAAAAATGCTGTACAAAAAAAAAAAAATTCTAATTACAGATGAATATCAAATATATAATAAAAAATCTAAAAAAAAGTATAACTTATTAATTATATTTGGCACTTATTAATTTGTTCAATGTGTTAATATATAATTCAACGCATTACAATAATAGGGATAGTTAATTGTTAAATTAATTACTAATATTATATATCAATTAAAAACATTATATAGATTAATGGTTTGAAAAAATAGGTTTATATAAAGCTTTTTTATATTGTAGTTAACTAATCAACTTCAGTCAGGTTATAAATAGTAGTAGTAATTTATAATATTATGTATCACATTAATGCATAACATTTATATTATATATATAATATTATTGAAAAGTAAAGCTGGAAACATAAGTATATTTCAACAAATTTAATATCAGATAGTATAGGTAATAAGGATTTATAATTAAAAAATTTAGTAAGTTAAAGAGTTAGAAGTTGTAGGAAGATTTTAATTCTAACTATTTAACTTAAGTAATAAACAGTCTGAATAAAATTTAATTGTTTATCAATGAACCATTAAGATTATTAATTTAACAGCTCTTAGAAAGGATATCAATAAACTAAAATCAATAATAAAAAAAAAAAATGTTCACATGAGTAAAAACATTACATAGGTAAGAATAAAAATTTAAAAATAGGAAATTTATCTGTTTTAAAACATAGTTGTGTGGCTATTTTTTAACATACAATTTTATCAAAATAATATTAAAATATATTTAAATAAAACTGTTTTATATACTTCATTGGTTTTGACTGCTTGTATAGATCAGACAATTGTTTTGTAAAAAATCCGCAATCTGCAATAGTTGAAAAATTAGAATCCTGGTAAATTGGCTGTTACGGGATCTTGCAGGTCTATTAGAGCATATGTAACACCTGTTACACCTATATGTATATATAAAAAAAAATAAAATTTTAAAAACTATTTTATAATACTATGGTAAAACTTTGCTAAAATAAAATAATTACTTGGAACTATCAATTAAATTATTAATCAACTATTTAATTATATTATACTAGACTTTGTCAAAGTTTGAATTTTTTTATTATGACTATTTTCTGCCTTATTGAGGTTTCTGTCTAGGTAGGGTTGATTAATTATATATTTAAATAGAACCAAAGAAATTTTTTGTCACATGGAGGTTTTACTGTATATATTTTACTTAAATTATTGATATTTGAAATACAAGAATTTTTATATTAAATGACTAAATTTTATGACTAGAAAACTTTAAATTATTTAGTTAAGTAACACAAAAAATTATGAGACTTGAGTGTTTAAATTTTTAAAATTAGAAGTATATTAGTTTGAAATTTGAATACTAAAAGAACAATTATTGTAAAAAAGATAACATTGGTGATATCACAATATCATTGATATCATTAAACATTTATGTACAATAATAAATAAACTTTTTCCTTTCGTAATTATTGTTAGTATCAATAAGTAATATGCACAAAAAAAAAAAAAAAAAATCATAAAAAAGAACTCTAAAACTAATAATTTATACTATTTAAGTCGCTAGTTTTTCATAGAAATTTCCTCAATAAACTATTGTTGATTTATGTATCATGTATATTCAAAGTTGATTTTGAATAATGTATATACGTTATTCAGCTAATAAACAATTTTTTTCCTTAAAATTAATTAAAATGGTCAAGAAATAAATAACATTTTATATTGATATATTACAATACCTTCAAACATTGAATATGGGTTTTCTGGTATATTTTTTTGACGACCAATTGTTAAGCACCAATCAACAAACCTTGCAGTTTGATACAAATATTTAGATTTCTGTAAAAAATAATATTTATTAATTTTAATAAAAATAAAATAATAGATACATTTCATTCTATTGAATCAAATTCTACATATAACATCTAGTATAATATAACTTTATAAAGTTAATTTTATCAAAAATAGAATATTTGTAAATCATAAATAAATAAAATAATATTTTAGTTTGTAGGCATATTATATCATATCATTTTAGAAGTAAATTTAGTACAGTATAATAGTTTCTAAATCTACATACTAATAAAATAATTAGAATTTGGAACAAATCCATTTTAATTGTAATTATAAACTATCAAAATATAGCAATAACTGTTACAAAGTTTAAGAAATAAAATTTACCACATAATGATTTTTTTTTTTATTACTTGTTTAAAGTGAACAGTTATAATTTTACAACATTTCAATTTTAAAGTAAAAATAAAACCATGATTTTTGTAATACATTTTGGTTGACAAAATTATTATCTATAGCTCATGGATACATATTATATACTCAGGCTTAATTAGGAACAGTAAGTAATTATAGAGTTTTAAATTTTTATGAGCTTACTCCAGTTAATTGAAAGAGTGACATAAAAGTATAGGAATTTCCACTAACGCCATGACACAGTCCATATCCCTTAGTTAATAAACCACGTTCCCAAACAACACTAGCGTATAATTCTGCTGCTTCTAGGTACTTCTCATCTAGAAAAATCTTAATAACAAACATAACTTATTACTAAAACATACATACTATTATAGTCTATCATAAGCTGACAAAATCTTTTATATAGATAAGCAGTACCACTGATTTAATATAATTTATAATAAAAAAAAATTAAATTTCTTATACATTAGAAAAGTGTAAAACAAATTTATATCTTATTTTTAATGTTTTATGAATTACAAAAAAATTTCGCATTTAAATAAAAGTTCTAAGCTTTAGAGATTATTTAATAATTGATTTGGATTTTATAAATAATAGTATTTCAAATATTTCAATGTTATTGAATTAAGCATATCAAATATAACAAGTAGATTAGTTTGTTTGAGTTAATTAAAATATCTCTAGTATACCATATAACAAAATAATAAACACTATACAATTTCACTTATAATTGTTGGTGAAAGTGTTAAATGATGAGCATCAAATAATTTAATGTATTGGTAGATATGTATATAATGAAATTCATTTTTTTTTAAAGAAATAATAGTTTGAAAAACTATTCACAATACAAAAAGTATTAAATACTTATATACTATTAATTATTAATAGTATTTAAAATAATTTATTTGAAACACTGCTAAATTTCCATATAAATATTTATGATACTGAGTATAATCTACTAATACATAAATTTAAACGTTTCTTACTTTATAAGCTAGTGCATAAGTATGTGAGACACCAGAAGCACCATGACACCACTGAACTAAATGATCTGGATCATTACATAGAGAAGATGGTAGATTTCCAGATGGATACCTTAATGTCAATAAGTAGTCGAGAGCTGGCTTAATAAGACTGTCTAATTCCCTTTTGGTAAGATAAGCCTTAGCCTTAAACATATCAAATATAATACAATGACAATATAGAACAATCGAAAAGAATATGAAAAATAAAAACTATACATGGCCAGTCTTGTAAAATACTTTAGTGAAAGTATTTAAATAGTTTTTAAGCACTTAAATAAATATCTTAAACACTTTTAAAAAAATTATTTGGATAAACTGTTTTATTTATTCTCTCAAACTATCTGTATTTAAAATCAAATGCTTTTCTCTATAGCTTATATATTTCTTTTTTTTCAATTCAATACCAAAAAATAAATAATAAAACAACAGAATACATAACTATCTTATATAAAATAATATTTATACTTTACACGAATCATACACAACCAAAAACTTGAAGAAAATAAAACAGATGAATAATTTATAGTTAAATCAAATTAAATAATGTAAAATATGAAAATGCTAAAAAAAAAAAAATAAAATTGTAATTTTTTTTGTGTATAATCTGTAAAGAAAATTGTTTATAAGAACAAGGGAAAACTTAATATTTATAGAAAGATCGAAACAAATGGCGTGAGAATTTATATGAGAACGATAATCAATATTGGAATTTAAAGGTGTGTATTGTAAAAAATTAAAAAATATATTTAAGTTTATCTATAAATGCTTTTTTTAAGCTATTTGTATTTATAATCAAATTTTTACTGAATATTCGAGTATGTATTTCAAATACCTGACTTAATAAAAATCTGTACTTAATGTATTAGAACATGTTTTTTACAAGACTGTACGTTAGTATTTAATAAAACCATACTAGAAGAAGACAATGTAGAACACCCGATAAACCTTGAGCTGCCCCCAAGTATTTTTTATTGTAACATTTGTATATGAGAGAAGTTTTTTTTGGTTTATCTTTTTCACATGCCCGTACACCATTGTCTAAAATCGCCGTCACAACCTGTTTTATTAATGCATTTTATTACACACAAAGCCAATAATAATAATAATAAACATTACTGTTTTGATTAGTTACCTTTCGTATCAATTTATCGCTATCTCGATCATCCCATCCGAGCTTTTTAAGTAATAGTAAAGAATATAGATATCCAGCTCGTCCATAAAATAAAATATCAGGCATTTTTTCATTCAATGCTAATGGCAACAAATTTACAACTCTATATCAAAGAAAAAATTCAAAGTTAATATTTTTAAACAATGTAAAAATCATAAAATAAGGTTACAATATGATGAATACTTTTGAATCATTTTGTTTGCATTTTCAATATCGCCAAGATCTCGATAAATTTCAGTAGCTGTTACAAATATGCCAGATTTTCCAGTTAAATATGTTACGCTATCAGAATTTCCATCTAATATTGATATACATTTTTCGATAATCAACTTAGCCTAAAAATATAAATATATATAATAGGAAAGCCTTAATAACTAAATTGATAATAAACAGATGACTTACAATACAATTTCATCCAAGTAGGAAAATTTAATTAGTATGTCATAAAAATTACAAATGCAAAGCAACTGTTTTATAAAATTCACCTTAATCCAAACTATTGATTTTTTTTCAAATCTTAGGTAAATAATATAAAAATATTGCATACATAAGTGTCATACTCAGAAGAATATTGTTTTAGTGAAAGAAAAATAAATGAAATTTAGAGTTAGTTTATCAGTTCTTTTTATATTATTAATTGCATAAAATAATAAACTGAACAAATAAAAGTTATAATATTTAAATATATATACTGTTTTTTTTATAAAATTTATGAACTTAATTTATAATAAAAAACAAAGAGTAAAAATTAAATGAGAGATTTAAATAAGAAAAAAATAAATAATGAAAACATAGCTAATTGTACAAAATACAAGATTTCAAAATGTATTACGATATTGATTTTATTCTTGCAATACTTTTATAAAGAATTTTTCTTAAATCAAAATTTAAAAACTTAATTTAAAAAATCAAGGTAGTGAATAATTAGCATATTTATAAAATATTAATATTTAACTGGTCAAACAAACCTCTACAGTTTTATTATTGTTTTGTGTTTTGCTAGCATAAAAATTATACAGCAAGGCAACACCCGCCATTCCAGAATATATAGACTCTACAGTAAGTTCATCTTCGTAAGGTTTTGGTTTTTTTAAAAATCTTTGAACTTCTTGGTCTATTATATACATATGAGCTTCAATAAACTCATTGATTTTGTACTTAAACAACTTTGTAGTTTTTAAACTTTCTATGTTATACTGAAAAATAATAAACTCACAGTCAATAAAAAATTAAATAAATCAGTCTATAGGTTATCAATTATCATAAAATGCATAGAGTATTTTTTATTAAGGCATTAATTAGTAATAAATGAATATATTAGTTAAAAACAAAATACTTTATTTAAATATTAATAATAATTGAAAGACACCAATATTAACCTAAAGTATAAACAAAAATTTAATTTATTTGTAATTTGCTATGATTGATTTTTTTAAATATTTGATTAATCTTATGATTAAAAATTACTGTTAATTATCAACTAATAACCATATTTACATAAATAATAATACATTTCTATTTTATACCTTCAGTAAATTTATAGTTATTATTCATTACTTTATTATTGTCATTTATTTTACTATTAGTAATATGGGTAGTTGAATACATTTTTCTATTATGATCTTATAGAGAATTTATATTTAATTTTAAAATTTAAAGTTTAATACATTTTTTAAAAATTCTAAATTTTAACACTTATAAGGGACTATGTAATTTTGATTAGTAAATGAACTATTTATGCTATTTATGAAGAACTTTGTATTACATTTTCAAGTGTTTTGATCCAATAATTATAATTTCTGTATCATTATTTACAGAAAAACATTAAAATAAATGTCAATAAGTAGTTCAAAATGATTCAAAATATTTTTAAATTTTATAATGTACCTAATACCTATAGATGATATCAATTTAAATATTTTATGAACATTTTTAGTCTTTATAATTAACTACACTAGAGTGATACTTATTTTTTCAACATTATTTTTTTTAGACAGTGCCTCTTAAATTTATTCTTTTATTCTGTTACATAGGTTAGTAATTTTGGCAAAATTTGGAAGATTTCACTCAACTCCTTCTGATGCCGCATCGGGATTGAATATAACAAAAGGGGATAGTTTTCTTATTATTTTATTTAATTCAGAAACTATTGTAATCAGAGAAAAAATTTAAGAACCTAAATTATGTATCTTGATTATGGTCTATAAAAGGCATTTTACAAAAACTGTTGAAAGTCCATTATTTTTTAAGATAAATTGATTATGTCAAAATATTATATTTATTTATTGAAATTGATTTTTTTCAGTTAATTAAATATACAAAACGTCTGTTTTGATGTATGATAAAATACTTTATATAATTATAACACGGAATTTAATATTTAAAAAAAAGGGTTACATTAAAAATTTCATAAGATCAAATTTTTTAAAGATTTTGATTTTATTTACCTAAATTTTTTGTGAAATTACAATGTTAATAAAAAATTTTTTTATTTTTAATTTTACTAATAATGAATTGTTTACTCCTAAAAATGTTTTCTTGATTATTAGTTTATTACTTTATGGATATTTCTTTTAAGTTTTAATAGGCTTTAAAAATCTAGAAAATATAGTAATAATTTGAAGTTTGATTTAAGTTAATTATAGTTAAATTATTTGCCTGTAATACGGATTGTTTTTGTTCTATGTTTTTTGTACATTTCTTCTATTAGCTTGACTCCTCTCTCGGCAATGTCATTTACGTTTTTTTAATGATTTAATGATTTCTTTTTCAATTTTGTAGTAATTTTAATTATTCAAATGAAACAGATCAATAGTCAAAAACTTTATGGAAATATTAAACCTCTTGAACACTCCAATTGATTTAAAGTTTATCAAATCAATCAGGAGATATTTTTGACTAAAATGTGAAATACTACAAATGGTTCACTATTTTTTTTAATGTTACTTTGGTTAATGTATACTATATAATACTGATTTTTAAATGCTTAAAATATAATAATTTCAGGATTTATTGTAAGGGTTATAGATTAACTATATACATAGAATTGATGATTATAGTAATTTTAGGAAGTTTTTACTCCTACTTTGCTTCTAAATGTATACTTTAATTTAAACTAAAATAAAAGTTCTATACAAAAATATATTTTGGAGTAAATTATTTAAAGTATTAAATAAAAATAATACATTTTAATTGTATGATTTTCAAAAAGTCTCACAAAGTTCTTTTTCTTTTAGTGTTATTGCAAATAAAATATAAATAAAAAAAGCAAATATATATCATACCTACAATTTTTAGAAACTAAGAGTCAGTGGCTATCGCCAAAATTTAAACAGTTGATATAAAAATATGTTCCTACAAGCCACTATATACTCTCATAGCTTTTTTTTTTTAAACATCTTAAATAGCAATGCTTGTCCACTATCAATAATCAATATTTCTATTTTAACAGAAAATGCTAGTTATATTTATTTTTATTTTGGTGATTAACTTGTTTTTTCGTTTTACAATCATTATAGCAAACTGGTCTAATACAGCTAAGTTAATCCTTATTTTACTTATTTTTTTTAAACCAAGAGCACTTTTTATATTTTCTTCTATACAATAAGTATCTTACTGAACCTTACAATAAATCTTGCAATATTTTAGTAAACCAAAAGAGTGATTAGTGATTACAATTAAATTATATTAATAATTAAATAAAAAACAAGTTACAAAAATAATCAACTATTATGGTACAAAATGATTTTAATATGAGTTTTTATATGAGAGAATAAAATGTATTAATATAAAAAAACCAGCTTATTCAATTTACTTTCTAACATGCTTGCTGCATATTATTTTAAATATATCTGTTCTTATGCAAAATAAAATGGTTATAAAAAAAAAAAATGTAATATTTAAGAATACAAATATTTATGTACAACTTACAGATACATGTAAAATATTACTTATATATTGAAAATAAAGTTTTTATTCATAACACTGAGAAAGTTATAATGCATTGATTGATTAACAAGATACATGATGCCTTTTAGATGCCTACATATTATGTGGACAATACTTAATGACACTAATATGCATCATTCACTGCAAATGCATTTAATAACTAGTCAATTCATAAGTTAGATAGTACCTACAATTTTAACTTTTGTTTGAGATTAAAATTAAATAATAGATTCTCTTTAAACTAAAAAAATTAATTATATTTTAGGTTGAAACAAAATTTTTTTAAATTCAATACAAAATAAGTATTTAACACACAGTTAATACGCCTACTTACATAAATTTTAAGCGATCTTCTTACTACTTCATTCGCTTTTTCAGTAGATAGTGAACTCAGATCATTTCTGTAATTTCTGCAGAGCTCGAGTTTCTGCTGATCGGATTTATTGTTGTCCACCATCATAAATTTATTGTTAACTACTCCACAAAAATTTATAAATTAAGCACATTAGTCGTGTGAAAAAATAAGAATCATAATATTTAAAAATTGTAAGATTTTTAGAGGTTTTTTCCAATTTCTATTGTGATGCAAACATAATACTTAAATTCTTGCAGGTAGTATTAAAAGTTTTATTAATTAAAATTTATTTAATTTTTCACCCGGATATTTCAAAATATATGATAAACCTAAATCGGTTTATGTTAAAAAATTATTTGTTAATCAATATTGAATTATTTAAAAATATTAACCAGGTGGTAAAATCAATATATCAGCGACCGATGGCATTAAATAATTAAAGTCAAGGACATTATGAAAAAAAATTAATTTATCATAATAGGTACCATTAACATAACTAAGTATAAAATAGCTTATAATAAATAAAAATATAAAAATTTATATTGCGATAGTTAATGAAGTATATTTTCGAGTTTCATGAATGAAAAAAAAAAATCACTTATTGAACTGTGCAATAATATTAAAAAAAGGAAATTTATATAACGGAAATAATTTGTATAATATACGATGTAAAACCATCATAATATCATAAAATTACATAGTAACAGTTATTAGCGACTACTGTTTCCCAAGTTAAATACTTCATGGAGATTGGAGATGATGTTAAAAATATTACACACGATAGAGACAAAACACAAATCAGTCAACCCAATCACCTAATAAAGTAGGTACACTTGTAATAGTAATAAATTTTCGGATTTCGTACCCGACTAGTATTAAATGACGAGCTGCGTTTGCGGTTAGGTTATAGTTCAGTCTTCTTCACTCTTCAGTCTTCAATCAAACGTACAATAATGCATTTTAGCAATGTAATTGTAAAATAATAAAAAATAAATAAATAGAGTAGCCGGCTCCAGGCTTTGGTGTTCGTTGTTGGAGACAGCCGCTAGCCGGGAACCTATGCTATCCGGCACTCAGACTCGGATGAGTACACGGCGGTCACGGGTGCGGGGTGGAGGTGGAATGATTCGACAAAAAAAAAAAATTACAATAGTGGCGTGAGCATTGTCGCGAAATCGATACGATAGTTTGTAGTATACACTATCTATATAGAGTACGCGGTACCAACAATCGCGACAACCGTGTATCGATAACGCCGTTTCGCCGCCCGCAATAACACGCACAACTATAATCTGTTCTGTGGTAATAATTGTGGTGGGTGTTACTGATAAAATAAAAAATTGCGTTTCGTTGTTTCTGGCACAGATAACGAGAGCCCGTCGTTCCAGTTAATATGTGTTGTGGGCTGACTGGGCACCGCAGATATAAATTATAAATAACCAACTTAATAATATATAATAATAATACCTAATAATCTATATCTGCGCCGTACTCGCTCTGACTACCACGACCGTTCGCAGGGAACCGAATACTGATCAATCATCAAAAGCCGTTCGCATTTCTCTGTGTCCCGTGATTGTCATCGTCGTCGTCGTCGTTGTCGTCGTCGTCATCGTTGTCGGTAAGTCCGAATAATATCTCTCGTAAAACTTTAACGTTTCGTGACGGCCGTAGCGACGCAATCGTTATTTTCGTCCAGATAACAATTTTTAATGGCCGTCCTGTCACCAGACACCAACTCCCAACACATTATCATTTATCAGTGCTGAGACGGATTCCGATCTTTTTCTTTTTCTTTTGTGTAATGTGTATATTTTGATACATCTTTTCACTATTATAATGGAGAAGAGATTAAATTTTAAATTTCCAGCTTAAAGATTGTCTGATAACGTGTTGTTCACAATACGGATCGTGCGACCATACACAAGCTATAACATTATCTTTTCTCCTGAGGTCATTTTATACGATTGTCAATAGATTCGTTTGTTGACTTACTATAATACAATTACATATGAATTATGATAGTATTTTGAATAATTTTACATCTCATTTTCTGACGTAATAGTGCTCTATCGATTTGTTGTCTACAGTCTACTTCTAATTTCTTTGTTCATTGCAACATAATATTATCATTGTTTACTATTGTCGCAAGCGATCTGAAGACCACCGATTTAACCAACATTATCTTTACATTGTATATTCTAGACACATTTTTAGCAATATTTTACTAGGTAGGCACTAGGCACTGAATATTTTTTCTTGAAATATCAAAAAAAGTTATGAATACATATGAATTATGCACAACTTAAATGATATTAATATTAAAATAATTAAATTTAAATTTACCAAGAATGTTAGTTTATTTTGATTGGTACTTATTTAAATTTAATTATTGAAAATAAACAACATTGTATTAATTAGTAATTATTTTTATTTTTTTGTTTTTAATTACGTACAATTTTATCTTTGATAATAACTTATTTCATCACTGATTCAAAATATAAATTTTATTTTGCATTTATTGTTTCTCAAAAATTTTTTTTGCCGGTATTAAAATTAATTTTATAATTTTTTATACATACTGTAGGTAGTCTAAATTATAATTTTTCTTCTTAAATATTATTGGCAGTGAGAAGGTTCTTATTATAATTTTAATTACCACTTATAACTATCCGTGAATTCAACTAGTTTAATAATATACATATCCCAAACTACTGGAAGTTGATCATCTAAAAAAATTTAAAATATAGAATCAATAAAAACACTAAGATGAGTAATGCTTTTTCTAATTTATTATGTAAAACAGATGTTTAGGTACATTTAATAATAAAATATATTGTAAGTATATTTAAATTTATTAATATTCATTTGTTTTTACATTTAAAAACACAAATATTTTTTCAAATGAATAAATCTTATAAAAATTAAATCGAAATTATTTTAGTAGTAAAATCTGTATGTGTAAACGAAATTGTCCTGAGTAACTGATTCCTAATCAACACAGAGCCGAACCTATTAGAGCTATCGATTTGAAATTTTGATGGAAGATTAATATTGTAATTTTACTGTGCACAAAGAAAGTATTTTTCAAAGTTTTGATTTTAAGGGGTTGAAATCAGCAAAAAACATAATGTTACACATAAATTGTTTATCTATATTCATCAATGAGTGAGCGCTTATAAGCTATGTGTCTTTGGCTTACATTTTCATGTTCTTTTTCACATGGACAATTTTATTTTTATGTGGCATGCTCCTGAGTCAGTATGTCCACAAATTTAATAATTTTGGCATCAAACGGAAATATACCAAAAGTACTTTAAAGAAAAGTTTTATAATAAAATTGTTGTTATAAATTATTATTTCTTATTATATACCTACTAAAATTTTGTGGATAAAGCTGCAATAGGTAACCTAGGTATTAGTTCAATTTATGTAAATCACAAAATAAATCATACACAAAAATGTCATGGATTTTTTTGATTATTCAAAGTTGTTTGTAAATTACGTAAAATTACAAAAGATTGATATAAAATAAATTACATTTTTTTTTGGAAAATCATTGTTTAAGATAGTAATTATTACACTATAAAGTACAAGCATTTAACTAGGGAAGCAAGAAATAAAAAATTACATTGTATACTCTATAGTAATATGTACTAAAAAAAACTACTCTTTCGTATATACAAGAGAGTCGCTATTATTTAATTTTATTTTTGGGGATACATGACTTAAAAAGATTAAGAACCACTGGTCCAAGATGTATCAAACAAAAATGAAACAGTCATAACTTCCTGTCCCTAATTATATTTGTAAATTGTTTCGTATAAATTTAATAATTATGATTAAATATACATTGATGTATAACTCAATTTCATGATATAATAATTATAAAAATAAAATAAAAAAAAAATTCAAAATATTTAATTTTTTTGTTTTTATTTACTACCTGGCTAAATACATTTCAGTTGATTATATTGTTTGACTTAATTAAAATATATATTGTGTACCATATAATATACAATTCATTCTTCAATATTTATACCTATTATATTACTTGAATTTTTTTGACAAATAAAAAATACTTTCTATTAAATAGTTAATACGTTTAAAAAATTGTTTAGATCATAAAAAAAATATATATTTTTTAAAAAATTTTTGTTAACTCGTGCAAATCCGCAACTATTATTTATATGTATATTGTAATCATTGATAAATAATTTTGGATTCATTTTTTTTTTTTTTTTTTGTATATAGTAACAACCATTTAAAAAACTTATAACATTTTACTTCAACTCAGCACTGGAATTCAAACTATTACTGCTAAACAAAAAATAAAGCTGGAAAAACTAAAAGTAAATCTTAATTTTTTTTAAAATAAATATTGAATATTTAGTATCAATCATTTAAAACATTATGTACCATACTAGTGTCTGTGTATGTTGAGTTCTCAGTGATTGTTCTCAGATAAAAACTTCTGAAAATCTACCTACCTAATATATTATGTACACTATGATTGAAGTTAAGATTTATTATTATTTCATTTTTAAAATCATCTCAATAAATTAAAATTGTTGGTCATCTAAGAAGATATATTTATTGATCTCTAAGAAATTCTTGATGTCGCAAATCTAAAACCAATAAAAATTAATATATTTTTGTAAGTAGTTATTTAATTTTTTTTTTTTAATGATAAATAGTAAAAATAATTTTTACTGAGACTTACCTAATATATTATGTTCTATTGTTATTTTGGTGAAATGATCTAACAGTAAACTGTCATTAATTTTTCTATCCCTCTTGACCAAAAAAAGGTCTGAGAATGTTATTGATGAAAATTTGTATCGTATTTGTTAATACTTCTAATTATCTGTGTATGTATTAATTGAGTGTACATATTTTGAAATATAATTTAAGTCATTATATTTCTTAAAATGACTAAAATAAAATGTTTTAATTGTCTAATAAATATGTTATAATAAATTTATAACACATCTAACCCAACCTCCATAATTTGATTCAATTGTATCTAATATTATTTTTTTTTTTTACAGGTTTATTTTTATTGAAACTTGAAAGTTACCATTCATTATGTCAACTCCTGCCAGACGTAGACTAATGCGAGACTTTAAAAAATTACAAGAAGATCCACCTGCAGGTATCAGTGGCACACCAACTGATAATAACATCATGCTGTGGAAAGCTGTAATTTTTGGACCTCACGATACTCCATTTGAAGATGGCACATTTAAATTAACAATAGAATTTACTGAAGAATATCCTAATAAACCACCAACAGTTAGATTTGTTTCAAAAATGTTTCATCCAAATGTCTATGCTGACGGAGGAATTTGTCTTGATATATTACAGAACCGCTGGAGTCCCACTTATGATGTAGCTGCTATTTTGACATCCATACAATCACTTCTTAGTGATCCAAATCCTAATTCGCCAGCTAATTCTATGGCTGCCCAATTGTATAAGGAGAATCGCAGAGAATATGAGAAACGTGTAAAGATGTGTGTGGAGCAAAGTTTCATTGATTAGAATTCATTAATTATTCTTTTTAATCATAAATAAAAAAAAATAAAAATAGTTGGTGTGTTATTAGTTCTTTTAAACTTAATGATTGAATTTTTATGATGATGATAACTATTATTCCAATGCATCAAAAAAATAATTTTTTATGAAATTAGTTTTTTTTTTTTTGCATAATTGTATGTTTATTGAATTATTATTATTATTATTATTTTAATGGTTTAATATATTATTTAAGTATATTGATGCAAGTGAAGTTAAAATATCATAAATAATTCAAATGTTTTGTAATGATTAACTTTATAATCATAGCTATATTCCAGAAACGTTTTTTTTTTTATTTGTAAGTTATTTTATATTTTGAATTTGTATATTTTTTCTATTTACTTTTATAAGTTGAACTTTATATCAAAATGTATTTGTGTACTTTTTTGTGTGAATTATTGTAAAATGTATTATTTTTTTTTATCCATTATATAATTATAAATAGACATGACCGAGTTAGATTTATTATATTGATGATCACTTAAACGTTGGGCAACTGGCAGCCTGTGAGCTGGACTGTTAACTAGTCCGTGATACATTTAAAATAACTTCATTTAAGTATAAAATGTTATGATTTTTCTGTATTTTATTTTGTTATATTTATGAAATCAATTTTATGTTTATTGTACAACATAGATATGAATTCTTGTATAGCATTGAACTATTAAGCGTCTTAATATCATATTATTTTTAGGGACATAGTTTATATAGCTAATAGATTATCAGTTTAGTCAGTCTTGTTGTGTTGGCTTATTTATTTGGTTTTATTATTTTTGCATTAAGTATAGTGTTTCAAAAATGTCCACTAAAAAGCATAAAATTTGGCTGCTAGATTTTCACTTTTAATGATTGGTTCTTTAGTCAGAGGCATGTTTACGACTATGGTGCCCTTTTTTCCCCTAAAAAAAATGGAGGGGCTGATCAATTTAACACATTAGTAGTTTACCTAAAAAAAAGTTCAGATAAAAAAATCTTAGCCCAATAATATCTTATTTTTTCTTAATAATATTTTTCTAACACATTGCCACTTTACAATTTGGCGCCCGGGGGCGATTGCTCCCTTCACCGTCACCTAAATACGCCCCTGCCTCTAGTAATATTGAATGACCCTCTGATCTAAAAAATTAAAGTAGTGGTATTAGATAGAATAAATATGCTTGAATTAATAAAATAATTCTAAAGTAGCTCACTATGTTAACATAGTATTGTTTTCAGAAAAATTGAAATGTATTTTAATAAATATTTATATATTTTAAAAGATATTTGTTAAACTATAAATCAACTTAAAGGTGTAATGTATAATTATATACTAAATATAGAACTTCATTATGGACATAGTTTGTTGTTCATAGCACAGTAAAATATTCATTCAGATATTGTCATAGTGCTGTTAAAGATTTATCTAAAATAAAAGATGTTAATAGATTCATAAATTGTAGATTAGTAACCATTACGAGTTTTACACTTGTGCCTATGTGTATTGTTAAGAATTAACATTTTATTATAAAAACTTTAAATTAAATGAATGTATAAAATGTATAAACACCTTTAATGTTGAATTTTTTAAGTAAAATTGTTCAAATTAATTTGAGGGAAATTAACTGCATTTTACATTTAAATCTATGTTGGTCATATGATTATTTTTATGATGATTAAGATCTGTATTTGTATACAATATATACTTACAATAGAATTTATACAAATTTCAAAAATAAGATCATAATATAGTATGTTCATTTTATGCTTAAAAATACTTAGAAAATGATAAAAAAAATTTAAAGTTGTACTAATTGTAAAGTATTGTTTACTTTAGTTTAACTAATTTATTATGAAAACATTTAAATGATAATAATAGTATACAATTATTAAATTGAAATTAGTATTGTATTAAATATTTAGAAAATAAAAAATGTTTCCATCCAATAGCTCAATGTAATACCTGCATAGAATTATGCAACTTACTGAATCTGCTTATTTTAAAAATAATAGATGACAAAAATAATCTTTACTAAGCTATTAGTTAATGAATAGATTAGCCGGAAAAAAAGGATTGATTGCAGAAATAAGGCAAAGCCTTTAAATATTTAAAATTAAAATAAATAGTAAAAACTTTTTATTAAGTATAATAAATAGCTTTACGGAATGCAAAATGCCTGAAAAAAATGCATGGCCATATTTTCTGTACATTATGGTTAGTAGGTACTTCAATAAGAGCATAAAAATGACCTATGTTAACTTAATGTATTAGTTTTTAAAGGAATTTTAACAAACTTTTAAGCAAAATTAAATCTGTCAAAGTTAACACTGTGATTTATCCTAAATAGTGTTGTATTCCCTCCCTGAATTAAAGTCTACTAACAAATGTATAATGAATTATTAATTATAATCATTACAGTATTATCTATAGTAAATTTACATATTTTTCATATGCCAACTAATGAAAAAAGTTAGTAAGACTGATAAATATAAATACTTATATCTAATTTATATTTAAATTCTGTCTGTAAATTGCTGTTCAAAAATATGTGATCTACCGTCGTTTAATAAACTACCTACCTAACTAATATTAGTATAGTATGTGATCTACTGTTTTATGTTTTACCATAGATAAAATGCTTTCATTGATATTTTATACCATTTTATACATTTTTCAAAGCAATGTTTGCTGGATCAGCTAGTTATAATACACTATGTATTAATTTAATTTGTATAGTGTTACCATAATACCTACTTAAATTATCTAAATAATTTCCAATAATGGTGTATAGATGTATTAGGTATATAATGTAAATATTAAAGATTATAAAAGTTTCTCAATCTCACTTAAATCATAATTAACCACTTAACCCACACAACCTTATTAGCATCTATCTAATTGGGGAAAGAAACATGATAAAAATCCTTTCAAGTAGCTAAAGTAGTGTTACTGGATTCTACCTTCAATCAAGCTGATTTCACATTTATTACTTACCTATTGTATCTTTTCATATAGATTGTAAATATTTGTTTTAAAATAATAATACAAAAAGTATATATATATTGCTATATTATAATAAAGATAAAACAATTTAAAAATTTATTTTTATAAAATAAAATATTCAATGAACATAATCAATTCCTTTGACTTACTTATGGATAATTTAAATTTAAGTCGCCTTTTCCTTTTCATGAAAAAATACAAACATATACATCATTATTAAGGATAATTAATACATAATATTAAGAATATACTGATACTTGGATAACTCAATAACATCTATCAGTTTCCAAAATGATTAGATAATTAGGTACCTACGCACCTCATTCATCATCTCACGAGGATGAGTGTAGTTAAGTTCCAAAATGTCTGAATTCTAGTACAGTTGGAAGCATAGTGTGGTCTGTCCACCAAACGAAAATTAAAAAAAAATGTCTTTTTTGTTTAAAATAAATTTGAATTTAATTATCAAAGATTAAAAATGTATAACTAAAAATTGTTGTTACCTATTGTTTTGAAGTCCATATCTATTAATTGTTTGGTACCAAAAAGTTACAAATTGCTATGGATTAAATTATAAACATTAAAAAATATTAAATAACAATAATAATATAGGTAGGTACCAATATATTATTTCATCAACTATCAACATACTAATTTTTATAAATGGAACTTATACATTCTATATTTTAGTTGGTAGGTACCCATAGTTTTAACTTTTTCTTAATAAATTATCAATATACTAATATCATTTCGATAATCTTACCTATGTTATACATTTAATAGTGTATAGGTACTTACCTATGTACATAATACGCAGTAAAAATCATATTTCTATTATTATGTATTATTATAATATAATATTTATTTTATACATTTACCTTTATCAAAAATAAACAAGTACTTGTAATATTATTATCTCTTTTTATTATTATTATTATTATTATTAACTCTCTGTATATAAGCAAATAAGTACCTACCTACTATATAGGTATCTGAATAAAACTGCAATATGAGTAAAACTTTTAAATTAAACTAATTAATAATTTAAATAAAATAAAGAAAAATGTTTATATCAATATGTGTTTCAATTTTTTTAGTAATATTTAAACGAGTACCTACCTACCTATTTACCCAGTATCTAAACTTAATTATGACAATGTAATTTTATAGCTATAAGTACCTACTATAATGTCTAATGGTGATTGTTCAGTTTTAACGTTGATAATTAGTGCTAGGTAACGCATATGTAACACTCGTTATCAACTCTGCTTCCCCCATATGTGAAATTTCAAAAAGAAAAAAGCTACCTATATATATATATATATGTTACGAGCAATGTGTAGATTGAAATTATACTTATGTCGAATTAAGCACGAAATTAAATGGGTGGCTTTGATCAAATTTAAAATATTTAATAATCTAAAATCATAAGCTCTCTATTAACCAATTAATAATTGTTTTTTATGAGCCAACAAACTGTATGAGTCTCTTTTTTAAACATGAATTTTGCTCTCTTTTAGTCTCCTACCAAAAAAATTAGGTACCAATCGGTTAAATTTCAGTTTCATTGGCCGAGTAATGTTTACTTAATGTGTGAACAACCTTTCGTTTTAATATACACATATAATATATGTGTGTATTTGCAGATTATTTAAAAAAATGAATGACTCTTGATTATAAATTAACTTATAGATTTGGAAATATATTTAAAACTTTCTACGCTCGAATAACCCGAATTTTTGTGATAATAATTAACTAACGCCCGATGCGATCTACCTATAGGAACTTCATTTTATTTTATTACATTTTTATTTTATTTTCTTAGACAGATAGCGCCGCTAAGTTATTGTTTTATTCAATATTTCACGGAAAGAGTAAGACCATAAAACTATATATTTATAACTTGCTCCGTAGTGTACTTTTATTTTTTATAAAAAACACTGCACAATGAATAGCTTACAAAATTATACATGTCGAAGATTTATATATGTGTTAATTTTACACTTGTGTTATATATAATATGAAGATAAATTTAAGGTGGTCCAATTACCGACAATCAAA